TCAGTATGCACCTTTGTATCCGAAAGTTGTGTGACTCTTCTCATCTGTTCCCATGCAAGAATTCCCAGAATACCTTTTTTCCCCTACAGATTTTCATCATTCTGCGTCTTAATGCCCTGTCTGGCATCCACAAGTGTGGTCTTGCCTTGTTCATAGCAGTTCAGAAAGTTGCAGCTGGGATTAAGCCTTTGAACCTTTCACCCCCTTTGAATCTTTCTGTCAGTTCCCATTCTCAGTTGCATCATATGCTCTGTTGTTTTGGCTTCAAGGTCTCCTAAGATTTACTATCTGCATAATTTTTCTTGTGCTGGCAAAATACTGACTTCTATTCTTCAGTAAAACAGTGGTGATATCTTTTGCCTTTGCCCTGTTACCTTTTAGCATTTTCAAGTGAATTTTGTTTGTAAAGATTTTTACCAGTGCTGCAGTGTTGATAAGGTTGTCCATGAGTATCTGTAAAGCTGCCCTTCAAACTTCTTGAGGTTCTCCTTTAATACCAAAGCCTAGACAGAAATGAGGAGTGATGGAAATTCTTGGATTCTGTCACTATAAATGATATTCTCTTACCGTTTCCTCACATGCTTCTCTTCATCTTCCGTCTGTATCTACTTGTTTGTTGTTTTTTTTAGATCCTTATGGTTAGCCTGAGTAGCTTTTGAGCTCCTCTTCTGCATTGTTGGCCCGGTGTCTGTCACTCAGAAGACTCACTTGGTGCTCCAGAGCACAGATACAAAAATGACTGCATGTCCTTTTTCACAGTGGATCTGGGAGATCAATAGTTGTAGGTTATCACTCTGATCAAACTTTTGGGGAGTCTAGAAATGGTGTATTTATGTTGCATAGTAAGAATGCCTAGAGCCGAGTTATTCCTAAATAGAAAGGGCAAAAGATAAACCTTGTTTTTCAGGGAATGAGTTGACCAACTGATAGGAAGAAGTGCACCTTATGAGAAGGACATCTATCGTTTCCTTACTGCACAGTCTTTTTCAATGTTGTCTGAAACAAAGATTAGTGAAGACTTCAACTGAAATACATTGCAGGAGGGCCCAACTCTAAATCCCGCTTTTCCGTCTTCTGGAATTCAAAAAGGACTGACTTTGCTTGGAGTTAAGCCTGATCATGATTCGCTGGAGTTTTGGGACAGGACCTTAACACTTGGCCATAAAGAATCAGGTAATTTCATTATACTGTGAAGCAAAATTGCATTTTAAAATGTCAAAAATAGACATGAAATGAAATTGCTACTTATAGTGCTACATTAAGCACCTGGTTCTGGTTACTTTTAGAAATGTGTTACTGGATTAGGTGGATCATCGATCTGATCAGTCATGGAAGTTTGTGTATTCCTGTCAAAAAAAACTGTTGTTGTTCCAGAGGAATTATTTTTAAGTATTGGAAGGGTTTAAAAAAATGACATATGGAGGCTGAGATGAGGAAGCTAGTTCTTGCCTTGCTTTGAAGGCAGTCTTCTGTCTTGCCTAATAAGCTTTTAATACTGGAATGGTTAAATTGGGAAACTGGCCAAGAACAAATGGAAGAGAATGTAACATTCCTGTTTGTAGGGCTGGTGGTTCGTTGTGCACTGGGACTGAAGAGCCCCAATAGCCCAGTGTTACCTCTCATTGATTAAAGTGATATTAGGTTAAAAGTGACCTTTATTAACTGTTTTATTTTATCCCAAGCCATAACTCTGCAAACAGTTGTAACATTTTTCAGTCTGATGTCTTCCCTGCTACTTTCTGTTTCTTAGTGAAGGACAATTTTCAAATACTATGCATTGTAAAGCAACAAACTGTAGAAGATAAATGTAACTGAGGAGGTCTTGGTACCTTAGCATTTTAACTGATTAAAATATGTTGGAAGATTATCTGTCCTGTGTTAGGTGTGTAGTAACATAATGCTGCCCAGAAGACATAAAGTGTGTGCCTGCTCTCCTTTTCTCCCTCTCACTTTCTTGTTTTTTTGGATTAGTATTAAATTCCCCCAGTTGTATTTAGTAATGCTTTTGATTCTTTTGTGCTTTGGGACTGAAAAGTCATCATAACTGGTGCCTAATCTGCAGCTTTGATTTGGGTTCTTAGTGTAATCACATTTTAAACATACACTGACCCTGTTTGAAGGGTCCTTAGAAAGTTGTTTTTTCACTACAGTTTTGGTTTTTAAAGTCAAAAGGAATTATTGGAAGCTGCTGAAATGGCTCTCTAATTAGTTTGTCTTTTTCTTAGCCTTATCTACCCACAAAGGAAAGGATACATCCCATTTCAGTCATGGAACTGGCTTAAAGCCTGAAACAGATCCCAGGGTGAGCGTTGAGCTTCCACTCTTCTGTTGCTTGGGGATTGCCTTTATGCTTTTTGTTTCTATTTTGGTTCAGGTAAAATTTGAAAGGGAAGTGTCCCTAGGAGAAGTGATATGTGTATTGCCTACACTGGGACAAGGGAGGCCAAGTCACTGGATTTGTAGATTAGTGCTACCACTGGCAACTTGCTTATCCTCTGCCTCAGTTCCTGCATCTGGGAAGTGGAGCTAACATCCTGCTTTGCAAACATAAATGAAAGATGCCTGTTCCTCAAGGCACTTTGAATTCTTTTGGTGAGGCATCTGTCTGTCTACAATGGTGACAATAAGCCCTTTGGTTAAGCCTTTTGGGTGTTGCAGGCATGGCCAATCTGTTTGGAGCAACAAAGTGCTCTGCTGCTCTGGTGAGTGAAAGTGAACTCAGAAATACAATGTAGAGGAAAATCTTAGTAGGTTTATCACAGTTAGTTATTAAAGAAACCTTGCATTAAAGGCCTTTTATCCAAAATACGTTCCTACTTTTTTCTGTCATTAAAGGAGCCTATCTCCTCTCTACAGAAAATACATGTCTTAGTGACTTCAGTAGAGAAACAGCCCAGAAAGCTGAATATTTGAGTCCCCCTTTCTTTCTCTAAAACATGGATTTTGCTTACAGCTCATAAAACTGCTGAAGACAAAATTTTGTAAGAAGCAGATCTCCACAGTACCCCAGAACCTTATAATTAATTTTAATTAGATACTCGTGGGCTGTGAGTGCCTTTGTGAGTGGCCCATTCTTGACTGAGAAAGTGCAAAATGGACATCTGTCAGGCAAAGCAACTTTCTCATACATTCCTCATAGCTTTTTCTCTGGCTTTCTCATACATTCCTCATAGCTTTTTCCCTGCAAGTGGCAGTGACCATTTATCTACCAGTGCCTTTTCTTCGCATTTGTTGTTTTCTGGTGAAGCAGATGACTCATATATTGTCTCTGAATTTTGAGAATGAGAAAATGTTTATGCTCTGTCACATAATATTTATTAATTTCCTGAATGATTCCCAGTTAGTCACTTAATCTCTTTATAAACTGGCCATTCATCTCTGAAATCAAGACAGTAGGCTCAGTGCCTCAGTGCAACCTGTGTGAAAGCATTTGAGCTGCTCAGCCTTTCCAACAGGGTGGACAAAAAAAAAATACAGCTCTGGTTTCTCTCTCTGACATGGTCTTGCATCTCCTGGGCAAACCCGCCCAAGTCCCTTTGCTACTGTAATTATTTTTTTTTTTACCATGAAAAAATGGTGAATTTTTTTCCTGAGTTCACAGGAGTGTTATAAGGAACCTTTCAGCAGTGCTCAGGAGCCATGGTGGAACAGTGTAGTGGGACAGGAACTGTACCTGCCTCCACTTGTTTCTGTGTTCTGTGAACCCAAAGAGCTCCATGGACTGAGTGTGTACCAAAATCTCTGGTGTTCCCTTGAGTAGTTTGAAGATTTTTGGAAGAAATATGCACTGGTTTGTGTAGGGAAGGATTTTCTATATAAACCTTAATGTAAAAATATAGTAGCAGATACTTCAGGGACAAGTTTTTTCATTTTCATTTGTAAATACAGTTTTTGAAAGCCCTCCAACTATCCATTGCATTTATTGAGAACTCCCACTGACCTTTTAATATAGTAGGAAGCTCACCAATCCTATGCCACAGGTATTAGCAGACTGTGTCTCGAGCGTGCTATAACCTTGGTACTAGCTTTGTTTTGTTCTCATCTCCTAAATTTATGTAGTGCTAAATATCCTGAAATTTAAAGGCTAGTTAATAAAAGGATTTAAGGACCAGGAGTCAAATCCTGCTGTTGTCATTCGTTACAGGGTATTCTTCTATGGTTAATTCTTTTCTGAATAAATGCCCAGAAATTTCTAGCTTCTCACAAATTGTACTAGAGAACAGGCATTTGCATTCTATAAAAACAGTGATTCTATGAATTTGACTCACACAGAGTACTGTGCTTGGCTGACATAATCTTCAGAATGGCCTGATCTTGTAAGCACAGGCAAATCTAAAATACACATTCAGTGGAAAATCAGTGGTTCTTGTTCTGCGAAGTTTAGTGTTTTGTTTTACAACATCGTTCAGTCTTTGAGCACGCATTCTAGAGAGAATAAAGCAAGCAGTATGATCAGCAATAGCACATTTGTGAGCTATAAACTTAGAAGGAGTAGGTTATTTTGCACCAATGTGTTTTTCCCGTAGAAGACATGAACTCCTGTGCTGGTTTATTGGCAATATTTGTTATCATCCTGCCTTGTTTCTGGCTTAAAGTAAGACCTGCAGTCCGGTGAACACTGTATTAAAAAAAGACAGCCTATGCTCTGACTTGATTACTGATTAAGCATTGGTATTACCAATGGATCTTCATTAAAAATAAGAATCTCGATCTTGCAGCAACTGGGTATTTTGCAGTTGATCTGAGACAAGCAAAGGCTTCAATAATTTCCTTGTTTTGGTAGAAATTCTTTTCAACAGCTGCATGGAATTTAGTTGTTTGAAAGGATGAGCATGTCACATCATATAGAACATAGGATATGTGAATTCAGCTCTGCTCTCTGCTTCCTTTCACAGCCCTACACCAATACTGGTTTTCCAGTTTGAAAATAAGCAGTATATACCTTTTAGTTGTAAATTCTGCTTTTCAAATTGAATACTGTATTTTCCATCTTTCTTCAGGGCTTGCTGGAAAGATTATAAAAGCCATCCTCAAGGGAGGATTTCAGATCTCAGCTTTGCAGATGGTAGGTTTCCTTTTGTGTTTGTTTTTATGATAAACAGAAGTTAGAGAAGTGCTCTATGCACTGCACAGGTGTCTTCCTGCAGTATAAAACCCTTGTGCAGACTAGCAGTGTTTTGGGATCAGCACTGTCCTTATGATATTTATGTTTTATTATTTAGTTGATCAGCTGGTCTGTTGGTATTTGCTCGGTGACCTTGAGCCAAGACACTTTACCTCTCTCCATCTGAGTCCCTATAGTTAGATGGGGGGGATAAGGATATCTGTCTCTTCTGGAGCAATTTGAGATACCTTTACAAAATATACTAGCTAAAATTAATGAAACTACTGTTAACATCCTTCCTTAATTTTTTAAAATATATTTTTAGTATGGATTGTGGGAATGCTTTTAAAGATACTGTAAGGATTTTGACACCCTGAACACCCTCAGCAGTTAAAGGAATTTGGCACAGAGATTGTTCCCAAGAGTAGTCCAGTAAGTCCTGCCTTTCAATTTTTGCAAAAATTTCAGGATCTGAAATTCTCCTATCACTCAAATCCCCATCACAAATGAAGAATAACCCCTTTCCTTTACTAGCCAACAAAAAGATGTTGCATGTCTTAGTGGGATAAGCCTACACTAAGCTGTCTACTTACATTTCAGATGTAAGAAGATATTGTGTGCTGTGTTATCTGTGGCATCATTGGCTAAGTTTTTGACAAACTCCATGTTGCAGCAGTAAAGCCATTCCTTTTACCTAGTAAAAATTAAAAGAGAATTCTGAATATTTGCTGGTTAATAAGAGGTGTCTGTCTCTTGTTGTTGTTGTTGTTGTTGTTTAATACAGCCTGGCTAAAATTTTGGTTTTCTTAGTTCAACATGGAGCGTCCAAATGCGGAAGAATTTTATGAGATTTACAAAGGTGTTGTCCCTGAATACCTGGTAAGTTTAAGAAGAAACTGTTTGAAAACAGAGTATGCTTAAATGAGGAAATGATCACATTTTTTGTTGCTTGGGATTGTGATTTGACTTATTTTATGAACAAGGTATTTATTAGTTCTAGTTTATTCTCAAATAAATGAATGAATCTTGAAAATTGGGCTATGTATGTAATCACAAAGGAGAGCCTTTCATGAAAATTGTTCAGCCAAGGAATTTGTAAAATGTGTCACATCTGCATCTTTCTTTTATTTGATATTGCAGTCGTGGCTTGGACCAGAATATATATTTATTATTTTATTTACAGTGAGGCTGCTGTATTTGAGGCTTTCCTGATGACACTTTGACCTATTCTTTGATTTATTGTTCTGACTTCTGTAGATCTTCAGAAAACTTAAGAAGTTTAAGATATGCTGTAATCCCAGTGGACATCTAAGACTCTCTATAGTGTTATGCCTTGTTACACGGTCACATAAAATTTTCTGACTGCAAATAGGAATACAGGGAGATGAGCTTGTATTTCTGTATCACTTTCTGTCAGAGGATTTCAGTTCATTTTACTCATAGGAATTTTTACTTTACTACTACCATGCTATGTACTATGCAAATTATCCTCAATTTTTAAATGGTTAAATTATTAAAAATTTTCTACATATTTAGTAATGTTACTCCAGAAAATTACTGATATTACTCTGATAATGAAATTTTTCTTTTTTTTCCCCTCCTTTATGATTGTTCAGTCTAACTTACTTCAACAGAGTTTGTAGATTTGTCTTCAAGTGGGTTAGGAGTGCTGTTAGTTCACTCTCCGATTGGGGAATGCCCTTAAGGTCTCCTCTTATAACATTATTTTTTACAAGGACCAGAGAGAGATTGCACAGGCATACTTGTAGATATGTGGCAGAATTAAAATATGGAAATGTCTGAAATTATTTCAGGGCCTGAAGAGTCCCATGCTACTGCAAAAGTCTCTGCTTTGAAACAAGTTGGAAATTCTCTACCGTTTTCTGCAGCTCTTTTATACAATCTCTGACCCTCTAACATGTTGCAAATGTTAGTTATATAATCTAATTGGAGAGTTACTCAGAAGAGAAAGTGACATTTAGACAGGGTAAGTCAATAAATAAGAGATGTTTTAGGGGATTTCAAGAAAAGTGAGAAGCTAGGGCTCCATCCTGCAAGCTGTATGTGCTGAATTGACTCAGCTGAAGAGAACTTCCAGAGAAGGCACACATGGGAACAGCAACGGATATTGCCAGTACAGGCCAAATAGGAAGAAGTATGTTGCAAAATAGGATATTGAAGAAAGAATATGACCTTATATATGTGACTCAGAACCATCTGTTTTGATCTAAATTTTATTTATCATTCCAAAATAACTCAGCACAGAAGATACTGGTATCCAGAAATCCTTTTAAATAACTCTACTCCCATTTCCTCTAGTTACCTCTTGTCAGTCAGATAAAGGCTTGACATTGTATTTAAAGTATTTCTTTGTGAAAAGAGAAAGCTGTACAATTGCCCAAAATGTTTGCTTTGTTGGTCTCCCCTGCATGGGATTTTGCATACTATTGATTACTTATTGTGCTGTTTTGCTCTGTATTTCCTACTGTAACCAGAATAAAAAATGGGGTAAAAAGAAGTGAGATTATTTTAGGTCAGCTCAGAATCCACTTTGTTAATCACAAATGCTTGAGCCTGATTCATCTCCAGGAATGGTTTTGCCTGACCACAGGCCATGCTGTATGACAAATAAACTATTTGCTAAAGCAAATTTGATTTAGCTGTAACTGGGAACCTTACCAGAGAAGCAGTGTCTGCTGTTTAAATTCAACTCTGAACTTCATGAGGCTGTGTAAGCTAGACCAGGTCTGTCTGACATAGTATAGTACCACCTGCCTTTGTGCTGGTAACTTTGGTCACGTTCGCTGTTGCTGGTGGGATGTCAGTGCTGATACAGAAACAACAGAAAAAGGAGAAAGAAGAATAACCACAGTTTGCAGAGAGGAGTTGCAGAATTGATTCAACTAAAGTTAAAAGCCTGTTTTTTCTCCACTGTCCAGTTATTTAAATGATGGAATTCAGTGAAATTGTGCTGAGTAATGACTTTGCGACAATTTACTGTTTCTTAACAGAATGAAATTTGTTGCTCTTTGACCTGTTCTTAACAGAAGATCTATTGGTGATAACAGGTTTTCGAATTAAAATATTTATTCATGTTGTAGAGCATGAAACTAGTCTGCACTCTTTTCATGTCCTCGCTGGAATATTTCTACCTAGATTTCCTAGGCTCAGGCTGATGATAGAGGCAGTTGACTAAAATTCAGAGTGGGAAGATTAGACACATGTTCTCAGCATGGAATCTGCTATAGGGATAGAAACTTTTTGGAACAGTGTTGCTTGACTCGGAGTGTTTGTGTATTTAGTTTCTGTCACAAAAAAAGGCAGAGAAGGACTTAGTATTTCTTTTCCTACTGCTCTTCTGTCCACTCTGTATGCTATTATTCTTTGCCATGGCTTATCCTTGACGTGCCTGTGGCTGGTGGACATAATTGTAATACCTTGCTTGTCCTTACCCATCCTCCCTTATTTTCTTTTGTGTTTTCTCCTTTCCTCTTTCCTTATTGGTTTTGATTCCTTTAGTCGTCCTGATTTGCTTAAAACTTGTCTGCCCAGATTTCTAGACAAGTATGCAATTATAAGGGCATGATTTAAAAAAGGAAGTCAGACTAGAACATCAAAATAGATTCTTTCTGCTTGTGAAACCTATACCTCTAATTAACAAACTCCAAATTGGCACTAATGCCCAGAGTTAATTTAAGCTTATGAAAAGTAAGACCCATCTTCATCACCCACGCGGAACTCATGATGTCTCTTTACTCTCCACAAGGCTCCAGGGAAACAGATTATTTCAGTGTAGCCAAGACTGTGGTAATAGTACACCCCAAGAATGTTGCCAGATCAAGGACCCTTTCCCTAGCAAGTTGTGCCACAGGCACAGGTTCTGCTGGCTTGTGTGTTTTGGCTTCTATAGTAACAGAATGAGAAAAAGACTGTGAGAACCAAAAGTCCAGGAGACATTTTAGTGACTTAAAGCCATCGAACGGGTGTATATTTGGAAACAAATATAGGGTATGTACTGTGCTTCCTGTAGGGAGCACTGCAAAGTACATTGCTGCCTGTGGAACTGGCTAAATATAGTGTGATTTTTCAGGCTTAAAACCCAGCAAAGTGCATTCCATTGATTCAGTCTAGTTTGACAAGTTGTGGGGCACTGCCATGAAATCCAGGTCCAGATCAAAGTATTGTGAATACTGTTATATCCTGTTGAAGCTGAATATCTGGTTTTTCTCAATTTCCACCTTCTAAACCAAATATCAAAATGTAAAATATTTCTTTTGTTGTGAATACTAATGGTATCTTTGTTTTGTGTCTTTGCTTTCCCAAATGCACCAATTTTTTTTTAAGTGTTCCTATCCTGTAAATTTAGACTGTTTTAGGCAGGAATCCAACCCTTGCTAATGCCCAAAGCTCAGCTTTGTTTCTGTCTTTCTTCTCTTCCAGGAGATGGTTTCAGAGTTGTGTTCAGGGCCTTGCATAGCAATGGAGATTACACCATCCGAGCCTCCAAAAGTGTTCAGAGACTTCTGTGGTCCTTCTGATCCTGTAAGTACTTTCTTGAGTGATAAAGAAAGCTTAAAAATGTTATGCTATGTGAATTAAAATGTCAAAGTGTGGTATGGCTGCAACATACTTGCTGCATTCATTAGAAACGTGAGTATTATCTTATTATGGAGGTCAAACACTACTCGTAGTGGATCAATTTGAAAATCTTTTAGCAACACTTCTGATCTTACCTAAGCCAGATGATAAAATACTGTGATGATATTTAGGTGAAAGGAAAGCTAGCTAAGCAAAAATCTCTGTTAAATATTCACAAACACTCTAACACAAGGCTTCAGAGCCCAGGAACAAACAATTATTGCTTGTAGATGCCAGTGTAATCAAATGTTAGTCCACGGCAGTCTGTGGCATTCTCCTGGGATGAAACTCTGAAAGGAGAATTGGTTCCTTCCATTTTCTGAAGGAAGCAAACAAAAAAAGGGTGTCAAAGTTCTTATACCTGTTTGCTTCTAGCTTTTATTTTTCATTTCTTGAGGTGAGTAGTTGGATATGTGTGATACTGTGTGCAGTTTGGAGACAAGCATAAGTGCTGTCTCAAAAAGTTTGTAGATTTTTGTTAAACAGGCTACTATATCACACAAGAACCATGAGGTGAAATATCAAGATGAAGCCAATGAGGTCAAGTTTTGTATGTTTTTCTGGTTACGATGTTTTAGTTGTAGACTGAAGGGATTTACCAGTTTTCACAGAAAAAAAAATCACACAGATGAGTGTTTGAAGGGAGAACAAGTTATTCAGCATATATTTTTCTTCAGATCCAGAGTTTCCATTACAGAAAGCACAAGTTAAAGGCATTATCCAGCCCTTTTTTTTCCCTCTTCTATTTGGTAACATTCAAATGTTTCTCTGCTGGTTTAGCGTCTTGTAAGCAGAGCATAAGCCATTTATCTTTTAACTGCAGGATGCTAGTAGTAATGTACACAATGTGGTAGTTTCAGTTTTGTTTCAAATTCCGTGTGTAAGGTTTCTGGTCTTTAAAACTCTCAAAGATGCAGTCATTTTATTTGGGCCTATTATATCCTTTTCTTGTGTCTGCTTGTTTAATGCCTGATACGTTATTTTGGTTATGAAAGACAAGTGTACCTATACAAGGGGAATTACACTATTTTTCCTTACTACTCACATGGAAAGCTGTCATAGCCATACAGCATGTGTGTATGGAACCGTTGATGAGCTGAGGAATCTGAGGGATGTATAACCTGATGGCTCCTCTGGGCAGCAGAGGAAAACAGCAGAGGGACCTAATTTCCTGTCTCCCAGATCTCTTTTTAGTGACCTACTGATGCTGTTTGTGTTTCCCTTTTAATGGCTAACTGTGTGACTTGGGAAGTGAAAATGAGTTTTGGACACTGGTTTCATAGCAGTTACGTTAGTGGCATGTTTGGAAGACAGGCAGCTGTGTTATATATTTCTATCTACTATTTTATGTAAGAACTGCAAATTAGTTGATTCTCCAAGCACATAAACCATATGTACAGTAAGTACAGCTGCTTTCAAGGCTGATCATTGCCTGAAATTTATCTGTCTCTTCAGATAGGGAAGTTGAAGCTTGTCCTTGAGGAAGAAGGGACTAGGGTGTCTCAGTGGCTTTTGTCATTCCCAACTGGAATTGTCACAGAAGCTCACAGCTGCACTTTGTGGCTACAATATTTGTCTCAAATACCAACAGCAGAAGCCGTATCAGCAGTTTCATTATCCAGCAAGGTTATATACAGACCATGAAGATAAAGTGGACTTGATATTCTAGTGGTTAAACTACATGTAAGTGTCATGCAAATAGTGCATTATCATTGAGAGACCTCAATCTCTCTGTAACTTGTTTGACTGTTTATATATGATGGATCCTGATGTGTGTGCAGTCTGTTTATAAACAGGGGTGTAGTTCACTACAAAAATGTACCTGTTTGACCCACTTGGCTTCTGTTAAAGAGTACCCTATTTGGCAAGTAGTGCCATTGACATCACTGTCAATGACATTACTCTCAAGGCAAGGTGATGTTTGAAGTGAGCAAAGGTGTTGGAACTTGACTTATATAATTAATCTCTCCAAATCACATGTGCTGTTAATTATATCATAGATACATAACAAATGTAATAATTACTTTATGGCAAGTCAGATATCTAAACTAGGTATGAATGTTAGCAGCCCTTTCAGTACGTTTTTGATTTTGCAGGGTGTATAGGGCTGAAGAAAGAGTTAGAATTCTTCTATTTTGAGGATTATGTTTTAATAAGATAGCCATTTATACCAAGTGTACAATGCTAAAAATGAAATGGAACTTTGGGCTATTTTCTATAACAGGGTAATATTTTTTTTAGCACTACAGGTCAGTAAAGCTCTCTGCCAAAAATATCCTTCATTATAAACCAGCTTATAAATACTATATTAAAACCTCCTCTGTGGTAGTAGGAAGGACGAATAACCAAAAATCTGGTTTGAGCCTCTTTGTAGTAGTGTAGGAATGGCCTATCAAATCAGGAAAGCAGGCAGTGGGATAAAGATACATCTCTCTAAGGAGCTGTGCTGGGTGTGCTCACTCTTCAAATTACTGTGACCTGATTGAAGGGCTGTGTCACAGATTGCAGGCTTGTGGAACATTTGTCCCTGGTAGGTAGTATATGCACTAGGATATGTGCTTTTCTGCAGATCTTGCTTCTGCTTGCGTTCTTCTGCTACATTGGTGCTTTCCTGCTGAGGGGTTGGCTGTCTCACTACGCTCCTGCTGAACTGTCAGCATCTTCAGTTGTACTTGTCTTAGGCTCCTGGAGTGCAGCTCCTTCTTTTGTGTCATTGGTGGTCTCTTCTGAGGCCTTCCTGTAGTCTTTCAGATTAGTTGTGATGCTTGTTCTTGTCTTTGAGTGCAGCCTCTGGCTTAGCTGTTCTCACAGCCAGGTCCCAGACTGCCTGTGTGACTTGCTCTTGGTGTCTCTCTGTGCCTTGTTCTCTCTGTCCTGAACTTCTGTGGCTAATATGTGGACCTTAGGCATGGAAAGCTCTCTCACATTTACTATAATAAACCGGTATTTACTCTTCAGTTATTGTTGCAGCACCCCTATAAAAGGCCAGCAATCATACTGATGCCCATCTTGAAAAGGTTTCTTTGCAAGGTTAACAAGTGCTGTTGAAAAAAAAAGATCTCTGAATTTTACACAAGACTGTAGCTTTTCAAGGAGGGGAGGCACCCATAGGCTCTGCTGTGCATCTGAAGCTATGAGGTTTGATATTCACATCCTGTGAGCAGCTGAGGACTTTTATTTACATATTTAAATTTAAAATAGGAATGAGATTGCTGAAATGAGTGTGAGTTCCACTGCTTTTCATGGTGTGTCTGAATAATTTAAGCCCTTTTTAAAAATACACTATTGAATCTTGTTATGTGTGATGTTAAATTACGGGTCTTGTGCTGGGTGTATTTCACTCTGTTTCTACTGGTGCAGTTCTGACATCAAGAGAAAAAAATTGCACCCGTGGTAAAGAAGTAACTGCTCTAGAAAGCTGAGAAGGGGACTTAAAAAGTTAATTAAATAGGATTACTACAGAACACAAATTGTTTGAATTTTCAGTATGCAGTATCACTTAGAAATGAGAGTGAGTAACTGCAATAAAAATTCGACAGAAATGAAGCTGTGTTTCTTCTTCATTGTAAAGAAAGGAAGTGCTTGGAGGGGTAAGGGTAAATGTAGCACAGTGTGCATTATCAAGAGAGTGGTTTTGTTTAAGTGCAGTAAAAAAAAAAAAAAGCAACGTGCATTTGATTTGATCTGCATTGATTTGACTTTCTTTAATATGGACCAGGATGCAAAGTCTGTAATGCAAAACCTTGGGACAGGGTGATGGTGGCCAGGAAATCGTGTCACTGCTTGAGCTTGCATTGATATTTCATTTCATAATGTTTGTATATTTTTGGCCTCTGGAGCACTGGGAGGCTTTTTGTTAGCACTTTGGTCTGAAGCTAGAGCTTCAGTTTTCACATCATCTTCATGATCTTCATTTCTGCCTCGAAATAGCTGCTGGTAAAATTTTTGTCGAGATGGAATCGTTGAGCTGGTTACTTAGTATTTGTAAGACCATTATAAAATGCTGTAGAAATTAGGTATATTGCATTTATTTTTTCTTTTGAGCTTTTTTCATACACAAATTAAAAAGTTGGTTAGAACATGCAATTTCAGGAGTCTTCATCAGCTACATATTCCTGACTGATTACATAACTTTTAGTATTCTTAAGAGCTTTTAGTTGGGATTGGCAGTACATTAAACGTGACTCAAGTACCTTCTGTTGTGAGATATTATTAAAGTGTGAGATATTATTAAAGTGATGGGATGTGCTGCAATATTTCTGCATCCAGTGGGCTGAAAAGGGATTTTCATACACTTGCTTTAAATCCTGACTTGCATTCTTTTTACATTGGGGATTTGCATTTTATGGATAACAGTGTATTACCAGTCTTTTTTACTTTTGCATCAAAGAGCTGAAAGGGAGATTAGATGATTTAAAACGAAGCAGTGAACTGAAAGAGCTGGAGTCTGCTTTAGCTCCATTCCTGACCTCACTGTGTGACCTTGGACAAAAAGTTCAATATGTTTCTGCCTCAGTTAATCACATCAGTTAAATAGGGATAACAGTATGAGCCAAAGAGCACTGTTCCTGTAAGATTTTTGTTTGTATAGACCTCCTTTGAATCTCTAACACTGAAAAACTTCTATATGCGAGGCCAAAAATGTTCATTCCTAGAACTACTTAGCAGCATGACATTTTAACATTATATCACGTAGAGAATAGTTCAGTGGAAGATATAAAGGAATATAAAGATTATTTTTTGAGCTTCCAAATACTCATCTTCTGGTAATACCTTCACAGTTGTTTTAATGTGGATTCTCCCTATAACCTAGTGAACCTTGCTAAGAGTGTTGACAATGAAGTACATAATGTGTTTCAAGAGAAATAAGATTTTTTTCTATGTAATTCTTTAATGAATAAGAT